ATATATATATATATATATATATATATATATATATAGTGTTTACAATTCTACGCAGCAAAACTAATTTGAAAGGCATTTTATAGGCCTATATATAGGTGTGTGTGTATATACATTATTGTCTATATAGATAAACAGTGCATATACAAAATACAGTATTATTTACGCAACTTCTTTCAATACACTAGATCATGAAGCTAGGCGTAATTATCAGCTACTAATCTTCAATCAAATAAAATAAATGAACAATATATGCTGCCCTTTGTCCCAGTGCCAAAACTCGCACTGTATTAGACCATGATAAAAAAAAAACCACTATACGGCATGCCTAGTGTATGCATTTACACTATAGAAGACTGCATGTAATGAAGTCCTAAGCTCTAAGCTTTAATTACTAAGGCTACGCATAGCTACATATCCATGCAAAATTTCTCCTTCAAATAAAGCATACATGATGATCGAACTTACCACTACCCAACCTAGAGGATGCCTCACGCCTCCCTGGTGTTCCTGCCCATTGCGATCTATATCCACCGTTCATTCTACCCGACGAGCTCATGCTGTAAACTTTTCCTCTTTACGATGTAGAGCAACAATAAACAGTCCACCAATTTCCAAATTTAGTAAACCTTAACCGATGGCCTGCCAGCAAGCAACGTACTTGATGATAAGTCGAGGAAAAAAAAAACCCAACTATACTGCCAAGACTGAGATATTTATGTGACGAACGTTCGCTGCGGGCGATTAACAGCACGGGAACCCGTACGACTGTACTCACAATTGTATCTTTTCTACGTATCTTTAAATTTTGCGGTTATCGCCTATACGTCAAGAACACGAAACAATCAAACGCGCACTTTCTCTGAATAGACCCGTTTCGTGTCAGTTATTTTCATCGGATTCATAATTAAAATATCTCTAGTATTCGCTCGTGGTCAATACTTCACTTGTATTCAATACTACACAGGATTAACCCATGCCCCAGTAACCATTACACAAAGACATATTCACTTTTAAGCATGGCGGATGCTAGAAGAATTGCGAGATGTATCCAACTATGAAGAAATAATAAGATTATAGCGCAACTGAATCAGCACTTCACATTGTGAAGACTAAAGCGTTAATATGATATAATGATTCGAATCATAGGATGAACGTACTCCCTCTAATTGATTTGACGGAGCTTATACGTCATGCAATCGGCCCAGCGGGCAGGGTCGAAGGCCAACGCTTCTGTGCAGAAAACTTTAAAGGATGTTTTGAGAAAACAAAGTTTGGTCGTTAAATCGAAAGGGAAGTTACTTTATAGAGAGAAAATGAGTCACATTTCAGATGGTTATTGATGTTTTCCTCTTCAGACCGACTTCATACTAGGCCGGTCTCACGTTTGAGATCTAAATGAGATATCGATTTAGGTCAATTATGGGACAGGTAATAACCTAATGAAAACAATATTCAACGCACTGTTTTTAATTGAAAAAAGCTATAAAGTTATTTAATGTCAAGACAGCTATAATACTTTTTCTGTGTACATCGAATTCCTAGATGATAATTCATAACTATACATGCCTATACATGCATCCTATACATAACTATACATGCCTATCTGTACCCTATCTGTTAATTATTTCTAAATCTGTACCGTTGTTTATAGATATGCTGTAGTGATAAACGCAATTATTGAAACAGCCATATGTTTCGGAATAGAATGGCTTGTGGTGAATTGTGTTAATTAGCCTTGTCTTGTATTTTCCTGAACCCCACCTTAACCAGGACCTCTTTCGGATCGATTTTGTCAGTAACACACAGTAAAGTATACATGCAGTATTTAATGTGGAATGTATAAAGCGACTCAATGTATTGAAAAGTAGGCATATACATGCCATCATATACATCAGAATATGACAAAAATAAAATTAAAATATACTTATGTTGAATAGAATGATCAAGGCTTATGCCATGTCTATTTTTTATCAAGTCGTTTAGAGTACGTAAAGATACGGTACGGTATATCGCGCCAGTCGTCCTCTGCCATTACCACATTGCGCGTGATCGTCTGTAAATCCAAACGATTAAACAAAAAACAATAACGGAATAATTAGTATGTAGGGCGCCTAAGATGATTCGCACTTCCCCCTGTTGCCTGACACACATAGATGCTTCATTTCCTTTAATGTGTGCCTAGGCTGAAATCAACCTAGATTTACTACTTGAATCGGTTTAGAACTGATTTCGGGACCTATACGTTAGTACAACAACGCTCCTCTCACGCGAACTCGCGTACTGGTAGCTGGTGCCGAATGTGCAAACAGAGAAGGATGAAAATTGTGAGCCAACAATACAGACAACAAAAATATACGGCGTCAGGGTATTCATTTAATATGTGGGTAACATACCGGTATTCGAATGGAGTTTCATTCAATCAGTCACAAATCGACAATTTTTCTTGCCCGTGATGTGAGTGGCAATCGCAGACCCGTGCCTTGAGGGTGAGGGACTGGACCTATCATAGCCCAGGAGGCAGGGGAGGGCTCTTCTCTTAGGTTACGTATTGTGGGAGTCCAATATCTTTTGGAAACTCCGGCCTTTTATTCTGTTATCATTGATTTAACCTGTTTTGGCACCACATCGTGTGAAATTATTTATAAATAGGCCTATCACATATCGTCTAGGCCTACTACGGTATATGAGATATGGTCTTAAAGATATACAAAATCAATGAAAACCTTGTAAATATTTCTTCTTAAACATTTTCTAATAACCAATAATTTACCACTATTAAAAATAGTAGGCCTAGGATTATCTACAACATCAAGTTCCATGACTGAGCGAATGCACCAAGCTGATTAATTTGTATCTTCACTTATTTATTATGCACTTTTGTTTTTCTTGATTGAGTTCTGCAGTTTGCTACACAATATTTATCTCCGATGTGAAATATTTGTCGGGGTCTATTTGTCTTTGTAATGAGCCACCGAGTAACGTTTGAACTACTCGAATTGTTTTTCGTACTTTGTATAATTAGATTAGATAATTAGAAATTAGATTAGAATTTAGAAATTTAGTTCTACAAAATATTTCCCTTGCAAATTTGCAAACGCATAAAAGCCTAACACTGTTCCAGACCTTGCATAGACTTGCTAAATTGACAGGTAGTCTTCTTCTTATCGAGTCCATACACGAGTTGAACAAAACTCAACGATACGATTTTCGTGTATTTTCATGTATTGTAGTAATTCTTTAGGATTTCGTATTTATAAAAAAATATAGGCCTAGGCTATTGGTTTGATCTGCCTTTGATGATCTTTGAAAGGCTCTATTGTGCCAGCCTAGTCTTGGAGATGGTATACTACAACTGTATGTCTACATAATAAGACAAATATCTTCAAAATAGCTAAATAACATTTAACTCAACATAAAATACATCTTAATATTTATAGGTTTCGAATACCGTATGCGACGCAACGTTTTTTGGAGTGAAATTCGGCTATTTCAACTTGATGCCTGTTTGTGTAGTTTAGCAAGTGCTGTTGATAACTTAAACATGGCTTTTTATGAGCTAACGCATTACAGTCAAGGTCGAGATGTTATTGAATCTTGGATTAAATTACTAGCGACTAAAGACCAAACGATAAATAATCTCTGAATTGAACAAAAATAAGTTTTTGATTTTAACATAGAAACACATGTAAGAGGGCGCTCGCTAACATTATAAAGCAGATCGAGAAGTTGATAGAGCAAAAGTGGTAATAATCCTGAGCTTGTATTGATCTTGCTGCTCTCTATCTATTTAAATATTAATTTAATTTGTATTGTTTCTATTAAATATGTAATAAATCGAACTGAATAGACATTAAGTCGCATTTGCCATGTGTCAGCCAATGTGTAGTTCGTTTGTAACGCTGACCAAGTCCGAGTCTCGGTAGCAGTGATGATGTTGTGTGGTACTGATGAAAAAATTATATAAAGAGTATTACTTCACATACAATAGCTAAACCGGAATATACAGAAGATTGAGCCACTAAAACGTAATCAATCCACAATGTGATTTTGGTTTATTGATTATACGTTTCAAAACACAATAGAACTCTGCTCCTTCTGTCTCTTATACACATCTAGATGTGTATAAGTAGACACCACTATTAAGAGGACACCCCTGTTAAGGGGATAAGGGGACACTTTGTCAGCCACAAAACAAGGGAAAGTATATCTTTTAACACTATAGACAACTCGTATTCAGGCAGGGTACACCCCTATTAAGGGGATAGTTTTTTTTGGTCCCGAAAGTGTCCCCTTAATAGGGGTTCTAATCTATAATATTGTTCTACAGTAAAAAATTATATATATGAGAATGGCTGGTAACGGGAAAGAAGTGTATGTGTATACTATGCACACTTAAGAAGAACAAAACACAAAAATTAACATATTTTACGATTATATAATTATGATTCAATTAATATAAGTCTCAATTACACTAACAAATATATAATTGTATACATTATTTGAAAATGTATTAAAACAATTTTTACAACAATTTTTCTAGGAATTTAAAGAAAATTATAATAGGTCTATTATATAATATATTTACATATTTATGTTTTGTTAAATTCAACAGTGGTAATCCCATTTCTATGGAAAGTACCATAAAATATAATACTAGTGTATAACGACAACTATAATAAAAAGAAAATAGAGTAGATTTTACATATTATATATAATAAAAATGGAGTAGATATTACATATTATATATAAAATAGTAATAGAGTAGATATTACACAATATAAATATAAAACAAAAATAGAGTAGATATTATATATTATATATAAAACAAAAATAGAGTAGATATTCCATAATATAAATATAAAACAAAATAGAGTGGATATTGGATAATATAAATACAAAAATAATATATTAATATTAATAATAACGTACAATATTATCTTGTACAGTGCAGCTTAAATTAGTTTGTATCACCTTACTTTGTGTTGAGTTATAATCCGATGTATAGGTCTGTATTGATACATTTTTAAGTGTATCACATTTGTTCATTTCATTAATATTTGTTAATTTTCTTCTTACTACTGTATCATTTTCCTATAATTAGCACAAATATTGCCAAATAGTTGTTCATATTTTCATAAAAATATGTACAATGTATCCTATTTCAAACTGCTGGTTTTGACTATTTTTAGTGTTATACAACTCTGTTTCATAGTTTTGTTAGTAAATCGTCCTAGTGGTTAATAGTACATCTAGGCCTTTATAGAAGTTGAATATAAAACATAATACACCTGTATACAGTAAAATTGTAAATCATAATAAATCCAAAACCCTATAGCACCACCAATTTATACAATCTTGAATAAGAAAATTGTATTCTAATATAAAAATATCAAAAAGTACATAACATTTATATGTGGAGAGAGCTGATCTTGGGAACCTCAATACTTAGTGTAATATTTTATGAGGATTGGAAAGTAGAGAATATTGTTGGGATCCTCAATGCACTATAACCCTGGAGGTATCATTATACTATAACTATGCTGTTTGGGGACAGGGGTGGAGGCAGGATTTGACCAATGGGTCCCCAACCCCCACTGGCACCACCCTAGTGAGCACATCACATGAAGGAACTGAGTGGTGAAACCCGAAAGGTGGGTACTGGATCGGCCACAACTAATCAATGTCTTTTGAACATTTAGTCGTTGCCTTGTGTTTTCCTTAAATTTTATCAAGACCATGTGTAATTTTTAACACTCACATTATAACCTCATGTACACATGTGGCAGCACACTTCTTTACACACCTCCTGACAAGCATTTAAAACAAGAATAATTAAATCATAATTATACAAAATGGAATAATATACTGTTGTAAATATGATATATGTAGGTCTACCAGGGAATGCCATCCAAGCTCCATGTACTGTACCATGAAATCATTACTGTCTGTCTGATCTATGGGTATTTTAATTTTCCCTAAATTTCTTGTAATGTCACAATTTACCTTGTCCTAACATTAACAATTCATTATACTTCCATAATTGTCAAACAATTTATTAGTTTCAGATTTGTTTTCACAACTATTTGAAAACTGCTTTAGAAATAAAAAGATCATAACTATTTCTTTTGCACCGGTCCACATTTCAATACACCTGGTCATTTTTCCCAAATAATCATATTATCGTTATCATTGTTGCTTCCTGACTACTTTATACCATTATGACTGTCTCGTTGTTTGTGTCACTAGCCTCACTCCTTTCTTGTACTTTAACACCATTTTCATTGTCTTTGATAGTTTCATTATTAACTTCTTTCACGGCACTTTCATCCATCTCATCAGTTGAGTTTTCTTTCATATCCTCATTTTTATTACTTTTTTCAGTTATGTTCTCCTCTTTGCACTTAATAGTCATAACTTCCATTTCTCTCCTTTCCTCACTAGCATTGTCATTTACTTCTTTCACACCCTGTTTCTGATCCTCAACATCAGCAGTGTCTGTGATACTCTCCTCCTTTTCTGCAGTAGCTACATCAATTACTTCTTTGCCACCTAGATTCTGGTTCTCAACATCAGCACCTCCTGCAGTATCCTCCTCTTTCTCTACAATAGCCTCATTAGTCACTACTTTGACACTCTGTTTCTGATCCTCAACATCAGCAGTGTCTGCGATACTCTCATCCTTTTCTTCAGTAGCCACATCAGTTACTTCTCTGCCACCAGGATTCTGATCCTCAACATCAGCAGTGTCTGTGATACTCTCCTCCTTTTCTGCAGTAGCTACATCAATTACTTCTTTGCCACCTGGATTCTGGTTCTCAACATCAGCAGCTCCTGCAGTACCCTCCTCTTTCTCTACAATAGCCTCATTAGTCACTACTTCGACACTCTGTTTCTGATCTTCAACATCAGCAGTGTCTGCGATACTCTCATCCTTTTCTGCAGTAGCCACATCAGTTATTTCTCTGCCACCACGATTCTGATCCTCAACATCAGCACCTCCTGCAGTACCCTCCTCTTTGTCTACAATAGCCTCATTGGTCACTACTTTGACACCCTGTTCCTGATCCTCGCCATCATCACCTTCTGCAAAACCGTCCTCTTTGTCTACAATAGCCTCATTAGTCACTACTTTGACACCCTGTTCCTGAGTCTCAACATCAGCACCTTCTGTGACACTCTCGGTTTTGTCTATACTAGCCTCAACATTCATTTTTTGTTTCTCATTTTGATCTTTGGTCTCACTAGTCAAATTTGGCAGTTCTTTGACACTAGTCTCCACACTGATTTCTTTCTTCTTTTCGCTACTCTCATCTTTAGCTTCTTCTTTCAAACTCTTGTCAGTAGCTTCATCAATCACTTCTTGTTTGATACTCTCTTTCATATCCCCGTTCTCCTTATCTTTCACTTTTTCATCAACACTCTGCTCCTTGTCGATAATAACCTCATCTTTTACTCCTTCCTCTACACTGGCGTCCTTTTCCTTGTTATTTGCAATAATCTTTGTTTCATCTTCATTGTTTTCAATGTTGTCTTTAATCCCTTTCTGTGAATTCTCAATGACCCCATTGCCGTTGAGGTTTGTAGTGCTCACATGTTCCTCTTCAAGATCATCAATGGGTTCCAGAAGCTCCAGCATATAAGTTAGCCTTTTTGATTTTGTCCAACTAAAACTGTTATCAAACTTGACAGTGTCTGCAATCATAATTAATCAATTAAAAAATTATAATTACTGTATAATGAAATAAAAATAATAAATGAAAATATTCAAGAAATAAGATTTCTTTGTTGTTTTTTTTTAAGTGAAAACTAGGAACTACATTTTCTATTCATACAGCAAAAATAAATTGATGGAAAAAAACGGGGGCAGATTCAAGATAATTACGTCGGGGGGGGGGTAACTCAAGGTCAGAGTGGAGTGTTCTTATCTTAACAATTTCATGCTAGGTTAAAAATGTTTTTTGTTGCTGTCAAGCAGGAGGGTTATCTTCTTATTGCCCCCTAGATGTTAAAAATAATTTGATTTATTCTTGAAAAAGACTTGTCGGATGACAGTCAAAAATTTGAAGTAATTTTCACTCATATGTTGTGAGACCAGTTTTTAAAACTTAGTTTAAACAATTTGATTTATAACTTACAATAACCGGTAGTCTCTAATTCTACATGGCCATCTTGTAGTACGTAATGACTGTTAACTCGAGTTGTCTCTAAAACTTTCACTTTCTGTCCACTGCTGTCAAACCGCTTGATTCCAAAAGCAATGTCATGGTCTTTTGTCTTAAATGCATACCTATCAAATAAATTGGTAGTAATAAGGCCCTACAAACAAGAAGACTGCATAATCCTGCTTTTTATCATATGCTTACAAGGCATGTGTGTGGGGAAGGGGTGGTACTGTAATTCATAAAAAAAACTTTCTGTTCATGATACTTTTGTAGGAAATTTCAATCAAATTTGTTTTAAATATATTTCTTACATTTACTATTATCATTACTATATCGAATATTAAAAGTATTTTTACCTGAAAAAACAGCCAGGTTTGGTAACGTTGTATTTAAACTCCAATATGGATCCTCTCTTTATCTCTCTTACTGTCATGTTCTCTTCTGGGATTTCCACATTCTGGAAGTAGTAAGACTTGGGAATCTCACCCCCTAAGCAAATCTGAAATCAAATCAAATCAACCAGTTAAACATTGTACAGACTTAATCATCATGATCATATCATCAACCTAATTACCATTATTAACATCATCATCATTATTATCATCATCACCATCTTAATCATCTTTAATATCAACGTCATTATGACCATCAACTTTACCATCTCCATTATCTTCATTATCTTGTCATCATAATCATCATTCTCATAATTATCACCACCACTATTGTCATTCACCATTATCATCATTAATATATCATTATCATCATCATTACCATGTTCATTATCACCATCCTCAATCACAATTAACACCGCCATTGTCATCACTATCATCATTCATCATCACCATAGTCATCCATATTATTAGACTTATGATAGATTATCTTTGTCTTTATTATTATCTACCACCACTGCACCACTCTTCAACATCATTTTCTTCCCTTCCTTATCAACACCATCTTCATCAGTAGTACCACACCATCATTAGCACCACTATCTTCTTCATATTAACATTGACTCACCTTACTTGGGCACATTGGATTGCCATCAGGGTCTGTAGCCTTACCACCCCAATGAACTGGCAACACATCGTCACTTACATATTTCAATAACACCTGCCGCCAATCACCTTAAAACAAAGAGTCAGTTTAGAAATTAGCGTCTCATCAACACTGGCAGAGTCATGTTTTATTACTTTCTTTAGTGCTAATTAGCATCAAGCCAGAATCTGAGAGAACATTACATTAAATATTCAAGGTTCTAAAAAAACCAATAAAAGTATCACAGAAATCAGTTCCATTTGGCAATTAATATGCGCCACTAAAAAAAATGATTTATACATCCTTATAAAATTTATGTTTCCAATAAAAACTAATTAAATTATCTAAAGAAATAAATATGTTCCATTTGGCAATTAATATGCGTCCCTCAAAAAAATGATTTATACATCCTTACAAAATTTGTTTCCAATAAAAACTAATTAAATTATCTAAAGAAATAAATATGTTCCATTTTTCAATTAATAAATGGTTTATTACAACATATAATTACATTACGAATCCATTATCAAAATATCTAATTAAAAATACTTTCATTTCCTACTGATGTTTAAGAGTTGTTAAGAGTGTAACAAAAAGCCTACTTCCTAGTATATGTATTTTCCTGCGTGTGGCTGGGTTCAAATACGGCCGGCAGAGAGTATATGCAAGGGGGAAGATTTTTGGGGCTCTGATGATTAGAATTACTTTCAGCGTTTCTGGATAGTGGTCCTGTAAAATTGTATTTATCTGTAGATTGAAGAATTACAAAAAGAAAAAAAAGAACATTAATCAGTGCTAATCAATTTATTTCAAAGATAACAATAATGCTTGGAAAAAAAGTACAGGTATTGTCACAATTAGGATTTGATTTGATATCTTTTCAGAAATATCTAATTAAATGATGAGCATACTAACAGTTTGATCTCTAACTTTCAGATCAGTGTATTAAATGTATTTGGTTAAAAATAAATAATTTCAAGAGCCTTCATCCTCATCATAATATTGAAGAGCTCTTCATGAACCACTGAAATTCAGTTCTCTATAAAATATTCTATTGAAATTTGGAAATGATTCCTGTCTGTTTGGCTTTATGCCAACTAATAACTGGCTCGTTGTAGAAAGCCGACTTACTTGATTATAGAGATCTATGCCAGGTTTCCAGAGATGGTGGCGCCCCAGTCCGTGCATATCCATAATTAATGTTACACCAGCAATTGACTTACCTAGCTACACAACCAAAAATAAAACATAGATATAACTTATTTTATGACACCAATGATAAACTTATAATATATCTTCCAAAATCATTTTATTGTATTTAATTCAATTAATGATTTACTTTCACCCTCTACAATCAACATGATCAGAATGATGCCTTCGGATGAATCTTCCTGATTACATGCTACTAGTCTATGCACCAGTCTTTCATAAAAAATGTTAATATATGGTAAATGACCAAATTAGCATCGCAGAACTTAAAACATTCTTTAACCTTTAGTGGTGCTCATTCGTGAGTAGTGCTTAGTTAAGACAGACCCATATTGTAAATTAATGAAGTCATGTTTTCCATGTCACCCAAACTGTATTCATGAGTGGCGCTCCAAAGCTGGTTCCCACATGTATTTGTATATGTTACAGTTTTGCATATAGATTTTTACAGGTAGTCTTATATATAAAAAACAAAACCAGGATATGTTTATTCTACACCATGCATTAAAGAGCTCAAGGTTAAACCATTGATCCTGCATACAACTGCTGATAAGCTTTGTGGTTAAACTTGACTTCAAGTAGTTTCGGTCAATGGGAATTTGTATTGGAATAATTTCTGACTGTAAGCATTGAAATAAATTATGATAATATACTTAGGAGTTATCCAACAATTAATTTTTATTATTTTCACAGGGAGGGAGGGGTCAACCATGTTTTTTTTCTTTATGAAAATATATATAAGAATCATCATTATATTATATCACCATTTTATTATGTACTATTTTGAGGGGAGGGAGGTGGTCTTATGCAGGGGCAGACCCAGAATTTCTGAAAACAAGGGGGCACAGGGGAACCAATTCCATATAGGCCTGGATGTAATATAATTATATAATTATAAATAAGTATCCAATAATGGGTATGATTCATGTTCAGCTGTAAGGAAATACTGTAACATTTACCGGTAAGCATTATTTCATATTTGAATATATTTATTACTGTATGTCTCACCATAAAAAGCAAAAACTAAACCAGCAAATCCATTACTAACTCATAAAATTTAACTGCCCTCCATACATATTACATTCATATTGTATAATGTGTACTGTGATTTCCTACATGAAATTCAGTATCATTCAATACAATCTGTTTAAGACATAATGATAAATACTGTATGCTAGTAGTGGGTGAGTTATGAGGAAATGATCCTCTTTATTATTACTAGATTTGATATTTATTGTAAATAATACACAAAGACTGCATGGGAAAACTATCAGATATCAAACTCTCTGTTGTAGATCTAGGTATTTGAAATAGAGGGGCACAGTGAGGGATTTTGCAGATGGAATGTTTAGCTTACTATCAACCCCAATGCACCCACATCAAAAAGCTCAGGCCTCCCAAGTTGCACCCCTCCAGTAATATTTGGAGTAAAAAAATTATGCTCAAGCAGTTAAAAATTACCCCATATCACCTTATTTTGCAAGTTAGCTCTTCTTACGTAATCATCAAGCTCCCCACTTCACACTCACGCCCTCCCCTCCCCTCTTTAGCCCACTCCACTGTGGTTGGGACAGAGGTACAAAATCTTATGGCTATGGCACTCTTAGACTTCAATCTGAATGTAACTTTTCAAAGTTTCAACCCTTTAGAAAGTCCGGGCCAGCTGTGCTCTCTATTGAATCCACCCTCAAACTCCATAACAGTAAAAATGTAGAATGCTTGTATTAATGAAAACACTGATATATTGTTGTAGTTCTTTATATTTTAATTCTATTAACTTGTTAAACCAGGGGCGGATCCAGTAGTGGGGAACGGGGGGCACATGCGCACCCATTTTGCCACTAAATTTTGAAATCTCAAGGCATATATTGAAATTAGCGCTCTCACTTATCTATTCTAAATATGTTGTGCCCCCCCGTTTGGAAAATTCTGGATCCACCCCTGCCCCAATTTGTAAGTGTTATCAAATCCTTAATAACAATTATTGTTAAAATAACACAGTACATTATAATAGTATGAATAATTATTAAGCCCTGCCCAGACTCTCAAATTTGATTTTGATGAAAAAATGTTGTATGCCCATATATAGTCATAATGTGCCTATATATGGTCATGATGTGATCATGTCACATGTTTTTGTAAAATACTATTTAATAGTGTGGAAAGGGCTTTACCTTCTGTGTTTGTTCGTTTATAGCTTTGGTAAATCCCTCCATTCTACAAATGTTGTATTTTAAAAGATCACTAGTTTTGCAAGACTGCAATAAACCTATTAAGAAAAATGGGAAGATTCACAAACAGGACTTTTCTGCTGATGGTAATGAATTTTATAATGTTATCTAATATGCTGATAAAAGAGTAACAATGTTTTGGCTCAGACCTGTGTTGATATTTTAAAAAATAAAATGTAATGGTATCTGTTTATTTTTTTATTGAAAAATATATATTTATGTTTTCTTTAACTGTTAATATCTTGTATGCTTTTATCTGTTTGTATCTTGTAATAATAATATTGTTGGACTTATAAGGCACATATTATTGTCATGACCTCTATGGATATCACAATGTAAAATAGGTAAAAAAAATATATAAATATCAAAATAACGTGTGGCTAAATAAAATCCTACTCCTTAAAATTGTATTTTTTATATAAAAAAAAACGTTTATATTTTGGCTATTTTTTAATGTTAATATCTTTTATGTTTTCAAAACTGGAAATTGGATCAATGAAAACCAAACAAATTTAATTTTATTTTTAAACTTTTGTAGACTGTCAGATTTCCTGTGTCATTATTGTACGTATTGTGGTTATTTCCTTGCATTATATTTGGTCTTAGAATATTAAAATGGAATGACTTATTTTATGTTATGTAAGTTCAATAAATAAAATAATATGGCTATGACCTTTGGGATCACCATTGCCAGTAGGTTCAATCCAAACTGGCCCACCATCTTTATCATAACCAGCCAAGCCACCAGGCCAATATTTCTGGCATACCTGTTATCAAACAAAAACAATTATCATAAATACAATTTAATGTTTTCATATTATCTTCATCTTCATTTTATCATCATCATCAAACATTTGATGTGCGAATGTATACTTTTCAAATTTGATATATGTCAACGATGTCATAACGCCAAGTAGAAAATGTTCATTCTCATCATCTTCCTCAACATCATCATTCTCCTCCTCCTCCTCCTCCCCATCATGACTGTCATCATCATCCCTCATCATCTCATCATTATCATTATCAAAAACCTCATCATCATGCTCCTTCTGATCATCATCATTATCATCCTCATAATCCTCTTCATCATCATCATCATCATCATTCTAATCATCCTCATCATCATCATCATCATCCAAATAATCATCATCATCCTCATGATATTCACCATTCCAAATGAAAATATAGGACTACTGGATATTCAGGTTTATTAATATATTATTTAATTACTGTTATTAATGCAATGAAGTGTGCAACAATTCTTCATTACCTCTGGCAACTTAAAAGTATCTTGTATTTTGTCAATCCCTTGCCTGGCTCGCCATTCCAAATCCTGAATTAACAAATAAAATACAGTAATGTAAATCATCATCCTACATCAATAAAGGTGCAAATACTGTACCATACTGGCAATACAGGTGTATGCAACTATTAGCATTATCAGTTCAGGTGCAAACATCAACCCCAACAGATACATTCACTGAGACAAAGCAGATAAAGTGTCCTGCTTAAGTACGCACATAAATGATCACCCTCAAACCTTTTATTATTTGATAAGGAGGACACAATATTACCATTACGCCATATGGTTCCGAATTTCATCATTTATCATCATTAATACTATTATCCTTACAATCATCATTATAGTCATCATGATGATCATCATAATTAGTATTATTAGTATCATCATCATCCCCACCATAATTATCATCATATTTACAATCATCCAATTTCAGTTTGACGCCATTTGTTGTAACTATAGGCCTAACATTGGAATTACACATCATTATCATCATCATAGTTATTATAATTATCATCATCATCATAGTTACAAACATAATTTATCATTACTGGTGTCAAAGCAATCATCAAAATATGTATATAGGCCTACAGATTAGCATACTGTATGTATATAAATATAGATATATAAATTATTTTATGTCTATTGTTAATCGTTATGTGTTTAGCCACAAAGAGTGTGTAGGCCTATTAATCAACTTTCAGACCTACCTTCCTAAAGAATGCCTCACTTTTATGGATATCAAAATTTCGTGCTGAAAAGACGAATAAAAACTTTGGAATTATCACTTTTCTGGCAAGACATTTGCCTTGTTTTAATACCTTATATATAATTTTTTTTGTAACATGCATCAAATTTCCGTTTCTGTTCTATATATTCAAAATGTAATTTACCTCGAAGAAATCTAAGGAGGCAGTGATCATCATGTTTTGGTCCTAGGACATCTTTGAGGTCCTCTTTAAACTGCAAAAAAAATTTGGGTTAAAATGATTGAGGCCTAGCTGTAATCATGTTTCTTTCTTTCATTCTTTTTACTTTCCAAAAGAAGCAGGGGGGTGTTGGGACCAGCCCGGGCCCCTTAAATCAGCCCCTGGTTGACTCATCTTTCTCAAGTACTTAGGGGCTGATTCAAAAATGTCTTTGAACAGCAGCCGATATTTCCCCACCCTCTACAACAATTTTCAAAATTATGAAACAAATAAAAAAAAAAAAATTATAGGCCTATGCCAAAAATATTAAATTTTCTTAACTCAGCCCCAACCATGGTGGGGCTCTGGTGGTATACACCCCCTCCCCCACCCCCCACATCTGTGAAAGTCCTTTAATGCCTGGGCCCCTCTATTTCGAAAATTGGATGAGCCACTTGTGAAGTTACTAGCTTCGCAAGTGCAAGACCCAGACCATATCATTTGCCTGCCTTTGGGTCCCTGCAACTTGCAGAGTGTTTTCTCTATGGTGGTGGCTCTGATTGACAATGTGACATGTTTATACGGCACATCTTTTGTTGCGTTGTATACGGTACTTCAATGGTTTGTTCAGGGAGTTAAATAACAACTCCCTGGTTTGTTGACATGAATGTTTTATCGTTATACATACAGTATTCATTTTGAGGTTTTGTTCATGTTTTGTGCTCTACGAAGTTGTTACCACCCACCCCATGAGTCCCGTCTGTTCGAATAAGAAGACAAATAAATAATAACTAGTGCATCTAATTAGCCAGGCTATCTACCAAGATCACTTCAATTTGCTTCGCATACAACTGCAATTTGCCAGGCTCGACAAATTAATCTGTTTTGGAAAGACATTAAACACGGAAGTAGTGCAATACGGTTCTTCACAAAGGTCCAACGGCCCTACCCATACAAACGATTCACGAATAACAAAACAAGGCCATACGTACTTTGTTTAACCTCTCCTCTTGTTTGTGACTTAAATCTCCAACATACCCACTCATTTTTGTTGGGTGCTGTAATGAGAAAACACATAAATGCTCCTATCAACACGGCAATTTAGTGAATCCGTTCACTCGTCGTAGCAATACACTAGGTTCTATTACTCCTTCCGTTATGTGCGCTATATAAACATGATTTATGGTCATTGACCTTTCTTACATTTTTTTAATAACGAACTCCATGGTTTAATCTGATCCTTAAATAGACGATTAATACACCCTGGTTGTAATTCATCTTTAGTGGTAAAAAATTTCTGTTCAAAATCGGACAATAATAAGTTGAGTAAGCCTGCAGCTTAATAGCATAGGCCTAGACCTTTTTCCCCGCCCTTTTTTAAATTGTAAACATTTTTAATAAAATTTGTATATTAGGCCCCTGTATTTAGGCCGACTGTACCTCACCTTTTCAGTACAACTAACCGGCAGACAATCCCCTTCTTGTTCCATGGGGTACTGAGTTCTTATATTATAGTGAACTACCGTACCGTACTCGCTCGAATTGGCGCCCCGGGCGCTTAAAATATTTTGGCTGTTTTTGAGCTAGAGCGCTTAGGCCTATTCAAACGGGGCGCTTATGAAAACAGAGTGGAAATTGAGGGGGCGCTTATGAAAATAGAAGGGGTGCTTATGGGAAATTGGAAAATTCAAGGGGAACTTTTTTTTAAATCAAAGATAAACCAATGGTTTTGGTGAAGAAAATGCAATCGTCGAGAAAGCATGGCTCATAAATGTCGGGGTATGTCAACAGCGGATGAATTAGTGGTGGTGTTGGTGGTGGTGGAAGCTTGTTGGACATTTGCCAATTCAGATTTGCAGGATCATTGCAGGGTTTCTTGCTTAAATACGAGAGTGACGAGGTCAGTATATTTTTGTTGACTGAAAATGGCCATACAGTATTTTAATTTTTAGAAATACTGTAGTTCTACATCCAAAAAGAGTATCAATAAAAGAAGAACGGCCTTCTGAAGATGCATCAAAACTGAAAACCATGTTAAACCTAATGGAGATTGATAGACCATAGACCGACAGATGGATAGATGGACTGACCGACCAATAATGCTAAGATGCATGCGAATTGATGCAAGACTAACAATGCTAAGATGCATGCGAATTGATGCAGAAAACTAAGTTTATGATGTACTGTGCTGCACTGTACTGTATGATTGATTATTTTTAGGAATCGAGGGGCGCTTAAGACAATTTTTACGAAGTTATTCAAACGGGGCGGCGCTTGTTCGCGCGAGTAGACGGTATGATATCTCCATACTCCCACCCCTTTCCGTAGTTTCAATCAAACGTAACAACTGACCAATCAGAACATGGTTCTCACAAAGACACGTGTTGTTGCACACCTGCCGCACAAACGCACGTGTTTGCGTATGTTTTGTGGGACAATTTCGAATGGGCGGGGCTTAGCGGAAATGTCCAATACGGTAGGGCCTACTTATAGCGTGCCTTACCCAAGGACACACTGTACAACAGATCTCACGGAAGTTACTTCTTCCAACTTGGGACCCCTGAAATAAAGAAAATGGAATTAATTGATTGATTGATTGATTGAATTTATTCAAAATCATATAAACTACAAGCAAACAATATACAATGATTGCGAAATTCCTAGGATAACTTAACTCAAGAAAGCCAAAAAAACATATTTTCATTGAGGTCCCTACATAAAAAGACAAAGACGGCAGAAACAAACAAATCGATTCCTATACAATTTAGTGAATAAAAGGTATGGATTAACAATTTCTTGATATAAAATTGTGTCGATAAAAGTTTTGGTTTAATAAAATATAAAGATTCAATATTAAAATGATTCTTTAACTAGGATCATTTTGCTTGTAAAATAAGTATAATTAAGGCCCTATATAAGAAATGACAATGATGGAGAGGATAAAAATGGTAAAAATGAAAGTTTCGTACAGAAAAAGTTTGTCAGATACTCTACACGCAAATAATAGTATAATAGCCTAGATGATGGTATTATCAGAGAGAAAGATGATAATACCGTATTTATTCGAATAAACCCCCGGGGAGTTTATTAAATTACCGCCAAATTATGTGATCATAGAGCGACTTAAAATCCCAACCAGTTAAAAAATGTAATTCCACTGGAGTACAACATTAATAGAATGTGTTTAAAATGTTTCTATTAGATGTGTTATTAATTTATTCGTGGAAAAAATAAACGCCACGGGACATTAATTCGAGGGAGGTGTTTATTCCAAATAAGGCTCTAGAGGGGGGTTTATTCCAAATAAGGCTCTAGAGGGGGGTTTATTCGAGGGGAGTTTATTCGAATAAAGACGGATTATTTATTCTGAGGTTTTTTTTTTAGGTTTCCCATTGACTTTATGTCCGACTATAGGCCCGATACCTATGATTTCTTTGATGTTCTCAATAGGCATGGGAATTGAACTTTGGTCAATAGGACACTGACAAAATACTGTATCTTCTTGTTCGCTTTCAAGCCCAAAACCAGTACCACTGTTATGATAACTGACGTACGATTTAAACTATTAAATAATAAATTTGATCTAGCGCCCCCATGTTTAAATCGCGTAGCAACTACACACAAAAGATTTTAAGTACTGAACTATCAACGCTCAAGTACGTTAAACGTAATAAGCGGGTGTGCTTTTTTACCCATATCTCGCTGAATATAACTAACACGTTTAAAAATGACTGAGGAGATTGATTTAGCTGGTGAACAATTTGGAGACCAAGACGAAGAGAAAGAGAACAACAACGATGTTAATTTAATCATCCCAAACCGATCCTCAAGTAGGGCTCCAAGCAGAGCAAAGAGTCGTGGAAGCATCGGTGACCAACGCAAGGTAAGTCGTCGCTAAACAGTCAGTGATATTGACAGGCGCTTGTTTTGAAGGCCGTAACTTCTTGGTACCATGGCCTGTTGCCTGTTGGCTTCCTTAAGTCCATTGTTTGTAGCATGGAATATTGTCGTATGACACATTAACTGTCAGACACGAAGAATAAAAACGCATTTGTGATGCTGGATTGTTTGAGACTACTGTACACAAATATAATGTGAGTCGAAACCATAGAAGTTCAACACAGAGTAAAAGCTTAGCAGGGAGTTGTTTTTAAGTGACTGGTATAAGTATGCATGGAGGTATAATATGGATGCCGAGATGTCCATCATGTGTCTCATGTCACGTGTATCCTCTGAGACATCTACTTAGTCGAGAGGCCTACAATCTCCTACTATACAGCTCATCAGTGGAGATTTGATTTGATAACATAATCACACTAGTAGTAGTGCTAAGTATTGAGGGAAAAGGATGGGGCAGTGACCAGGGTCCCCCCTGTTGAGAGAAAAGCAAGTAAAATTGTTGGGGAAAAAATGAAAGTAATTTTACAAATTATGAGAATAAAAAGTTGATTAAATAATAAGCCTTTTAAATTCCTAAATTAGCAGAGCTTCCGGGGATCACCCCAGGACGCCCTTTAAGGGTCTGGGCAGCTCCTGACCTTGCTCACTTATTACCATTTTCGTGAAGATACACTCCAACTTCAATTTCTGAATCATTTCATAGACTATTAGTAGAGCAGCCAGCAGTCAAGCCTCAAGACCAGGCAGCAGGCTATCTGAAAAAGATGAGGTTGAGGAGAAGAAGCGGGCTGCCTCCCAGCAAACATTTGTTAGTGATGCCTCTGCAGGATGGGACACAGATCTTGAGGTTGAAGGTAGGCTCATGCTTTCCATAATTTAAACTTATTTTAATTTAACATTAAAACTTATTGTGACTAAACCTATATCAGATAATTACATTTTCTTTCCATGAACTAATATAAAAAAGTAACAAAAAAGAAAACAAATCATTTTATATTGTTTTACATACTGATTTTAATGAACTTGAATGTACCTATGCCATGAATTTATCCTTTTGCTTTCTTAGTTTTTCTATCATATTTAAAATATTGAAAAGCTTATACTACTTTAGAAGTTTATTAAAGCATGATATTTATTCATATTTCTTTCCTGTATTTTCCAATCATATATTTGAAAATGCATGATTTCTTCTCCTGCATGCCTTTTTTGTCATTTGCGTCTATCAGGTACTATCACAGCTATGAAAATGAGTAAGGAGTATGGATATTGTTTACCCTCAACCAATTTTATGCACTTGTATTTCCCCTGAACCAATTTAACACATTTACTTACATTTTACCCTGAATCGATTTACAGCACTTATGGTCCTACTCAATATCCCAGCATGCACTTAACAGAATATACAACTTTCTTTGTCATTTATCAGTTTCACTGTGTGTTCACATATTTTAATTTTATTAAAAAGTGTCCTTTATATTTCATGGTGGTCTAGTTTTAGTGTGGTAATTTTATAACATAGAATGAACATTACTCTGAATAATGAGAGACAGAGGCCATGATTCATTTCAACCTTTATTGGGTCATCTTCAGGAATAAAATGAAATGATAGCTTTAATGGAATGGCAGCATATCAAGGATTTATTGCTGAGTCTAAATCTTGAATGATAAAATGAGAGTGCTCATGAAGCAAAGGAATACTGATTGGTATCTTTTACAACGAAAAGGAAGGGTAAAAATCAACTGCATATCCAATACTGTACCACTGTTATTTTTTATCATCTACAAGAAGCTACACATGTTTGTATGTTGATAATAAGTGTATAATATGCTAATATGTTTGTATTAGAATATAGTAGCTTACACTGTGTGTGGTAGATTATAGAACCATTCAAAATGATTATTATTGTTTTTAATATTGCTGTAACTGTTATAGTTTTAACTGTTATACTTGTTTTTGTAACTGTTGTTGATTAAATCAACTAATCAATTTCATATTATTTTTTATTTATTTTGACAATTATTTATGTTCATCATTGCATAATTGTTTTTGTATATTTCATATATAATAATATATACACTATATGTATATACATTATGTGTGTATCATTTCATATTCATATAAATGACAATTGTTTCACTACCCAAAATTATATTATTAAATATAAGATTAGTGGTACATTGTTCTTATATAAATTGCATAATAATTTTAATCACTATCAACCTTTCATATAAATAATATTAATCATACCTTCCAGTAACTCTCACAATTGTCCATTCTAATCATCTTAGCTGTTCTCTGGTTTTCCGACATTTCACAAAATATAAAATGTAATAACAGTGTCCTTGTGAAGATGTTGTAGATAGGCAGTTATTGTGGACTGATCTCATTAATCTACAGTTGTTTAGGTGCTAAAGGTAGATGTTTGAAAATTGAACACTCAACTTATGAACCTCTCATTTCAATTTCAACACTGCTAGAGGTTGATTAACAAGTGTTGACCTCAAAAGAATATTTGATTCTGATTTACAGTAACAGCTTATATAATTCGTTGCAAACATCTTACATAACGTTTTAATTTTTTAACATTTTATTCATAATTTTAAAGAGAGTACTCATCTACAAAATGGGTACATAATAAAATGATAATTGTTGTCATTTTATTAATAATAATTAATATTATTAATAATTAATTAACATTAATAATCATATTTTCACTTTCATAAAATAATGAAAAATATGGATTACAAATAAAATTGAATATGCAAATTGCATGCCCAAGCAGATGTATTTTATGCTAATGAGATATCAATATGCTAATTAAATAGAGGTTCGTGAATCATATGATGCTTCAGGCAGAACAACATACATTGAGGCCTGTCGTATCAATGGTGTTATACCAGTATCGTACGTCTTACGTCATATCACAGACGCTGAGTTAACGATGAAGCATCATGGTCTAGGACCAGCTGGGGCAAAGGCCCTTGCAATAGCCCTTGTGGTGAGTTTGTTGCTATTAACAGAATTAGTCAATATGTATAGAGAAAAAACTAATAATAAATTATAAACAAATATTTGAATTAGGTTTATGTAAACTTCGGAAGATATACTGTTTGTGTTGATTTACATCATTTACATTGTGTATTAGAGTATTATCTATTAGTATATTACCTTCCAATTGAAAATTACATTTAACAGACTCTTAATACCATTCTTATATTCATTCAATTTCAATAATCAACATAATAAAATGTGCCTTATATTTCTATCTTATTTAATATTTGTAATGATTGAATACTATACTAAATAGATTAAACAACCTGTCAAAATATTTTTATAAATATAAATGATTAACATTTCAAGAACTAGTAAAACTTTATTTGGTCATTTACTACTAAGTTGTTTAACCTACTTCTTTTCTCTTCAGTCAAATACAACAATCAGCAAGTTAAATCTTGGTGACAACTGGCTGGATGCTAGTGGTGGTGAAGCTATTGGTGACATGTTAAAAGAAAACTGCTACATTACAGATTTGGTAAGTTACTACGGTTTTGTATTTTTTTTCTCTTCGTCTGGAGAATACTATTAAAACTAACAACTCAAAAGTAGCTCTTGACACAACTTAAAAGCTTGTTGATCCAATGTAACAACTTGACTAACAACTGCTTTACTAAGGTTAATAGCTCTATGACCCAAGTCAATAGCTCAATGACTTAAAGTTAAGCTTTTTTACCCAATGTAACAGCTTCATGACTCAAAGTAATAGTTTCTTTACTCAAGTTAATAGGCAGCTTTTGAATTGCGAGACGACGTAACGTTAGAACTGATTCACTCATACGTCCTACATGCTCTACACACCATGGTAGATCTATGTGATGAGAAATAACGTTGTCGTATGCGCAGATGACTTTATGGTGATGTCATTACGTTCTATGTCCCACCACATTGTGCAGTGAAAGCTTCCTATTAGCTGCATGACCCAAGTTAACAGCTCCTGAACCAGATTAATGCTAGCTTCATGATTCAAGGTAACAGCTTTGTGGCTCAACCTAACAACGGCTTTATAAGAATAATAGTAGACTTGCCACAAGTGTCTAATTTATAGATTATTCCTAGTGTTGCTACTTCGGAGAGTGCCACCAGCATCAGCTTATGTAGAGAAAACTGTTATGTTGTTGAATTTGGATGCGAATTAGAAAATCCAAGAAAAAGTATAGTATGGAACACCATAGAAATAAGTAATATGGAACATCATGTCAATAGCTCCATAACCCAGGAGAAATTATCAAATATTAGATAATCAAAAGAATCATGTGTACATCAGCAGTAAATTTTCAATACTAAACTTCAAATTGATATATTTGCTTCCTGTCTGGACGTATCAAGTGGAAGTACAGAATACATATTTAATTAAGGTTTATAAACCTTGATAAAAATAACTAGTAAATAAATAAGCTCCATTTAATAGGTCATGGTTCACCATGTTGACATAGTGATATATATATATATATTCATGACATTGCAGTTTTAGATGTATTCATGTGCCACAAGGTAAACATCTACAAGTATTGTGGCACATCACTACTATATCACAGTACCTTTATTATGTTATTGGCGCCAGTGAATTTTTACAGGTGTTGTCGCCTGTGTTGTTTTCATTTGTGTGTGCATGTGCTGTAATACATGACATATCTTATCATTTATATTTGTCTTAACATTTACATATACTGTACAAGCATCGGCGCTTAAAATAAACATCTTAAACACTTCATAAAATAAAAAAAAACCATTGACAGAACTGATCAAAGTTAACTGTGTCGGTGTCAAGCAGAGCTTTCCAGACACTGGCTGGAATTATAATTGAAACAAGAAATTCAGAAAAAATTAAATATGCTTGAAAATTATTACAGTAAATTTATTTTTGTAGCTTGTAGATGCATATTATTTAATGCTCTATGTTCTTTTTTATGTGCTTTATCTTGTAGGATTTATCAGAGAACAGATTGGGTAACCAAGGTGCTAGAGCATTATGTGATATGCTTCTGAACAATGCAACATTAACACATGTAACACTATCAGGTATGTGAAAGCGCAAGATGAATAAACCATAGGCAAAAGGTTACCCTTGAGAATAATGTGGATTTTAGGTAGATGGTACTCGATGAATGCATTTGAGAATATCCTTCAGGCCTAACAGGCACTTAGGAATTATTTTTATGCATTAATCTAACCTTTATAATAATTTCCACTGGTGTATGATGTTCAACTTTTGTAATTGTATGTTTTTACTGCATTGTTTTATAATTAGATGTGTTTTAGTCTTTGTATTTCATTTTGAATTTTAACTTTGTTCCCAGGGCTCCAAGGGAGACCAGTCTACTTGACTGATTGGACTACCCTGGTTAAATATTGTGATAAATAAATAAATAAAAAACTATACTATTTGCATAATTAAATTGGATTGGATTTATATGGTGTAAAACACCAAGGGAAAAACATGAAAGTCTTAAGAAGAAGTATTTCCAGTGGTGTCTTTTTGGTGGAGATTAAATAATTGTTATAACTATTCTAAAAATGTGGTCATAGTGATTACTACTTTTTTTCTAATTAATTGTTATCCCATTAGGAAATGGCTTTGAAGATAAAAGTGCTGAATCATTTGCAGAGGTTATACTAGTAAGTATGTTGCCATTTACATCAGTTGATTTCATATCACGGAAATGCAATTACATACATACTGAATTTATATTTAATTGAAAAGGAAATTAAAATGTTAATACAAACAATAGAAGTTTGACATACTTGTGAAACATAGGATGACTCTTTAATTCTCCACTGGAACATATTTTCTGAGTGGTTGCCAAACAAGATGAGGTAGTGAAGCTAAAAGCATCTGTTACATAATACAAGCCAAGATGTATAATACAGTTGTATCATTCAAAATTAAAGCAATATAGCGGATCCTACACTTACATAAATCCAGATCTGTGTAAACAGGAAAAACTAATCAGCAAAGTGTAGCATTTTGGATCCGAAAATAATTACTTACTTTCAAGAAATAATGATATTATAGCAAATGTAGCTTACAATAAAAAAAGATCCAGTGTTAAAATTTCATCTGACTCATTACTCTATGGGTATGTTTTTGTTGTCGTTAGTTATAAATTACTGTAATGGATTACAAATAAATTAATGATTTACACTTTTGCAATATCTTTGTTGATACAGTATATATTATAATTATCGCTGGTAATACAAATGAAAGTGGTTGTTGAATTTGCTTAACAATATTGTTTACAACAGACAGTTATGTGTTACGAAAAACCTGTTTTAAAATTGGCAGTCCTGTGTACATGCCACTGTTCTAGTAACTACATGTATTTTCTATTTTTGCTGAAGATTTCGTCTTGTGAGTACTGTAGCTGGATACAATGTTTTGCCTCATTTATATCAAGGCTGTTCTCTTTAATTATTATAACGTTCTGTACACTGCACATGCTGTGGACTATAGCTGTTATTTGTGATGAAGTTGATTAAATATTAAACAAAATATTTGTTAATTATCTATAAACAGCCTAGGATAATTAACAAATAATTTTACTAATGGTTAATAATTTACTTGCTATGGAAACACTACCTATGATACTTGTATTTATATCTTAAATTCTTGGATTAAATCCTGGTAAAAAATTTCAGAATATTTAAACAGCCAACATTATGCCCCCAAATGATCAGATTTGATTGTTCTGTCACCCTTTCAATTTGTGCAACGAAGTGACGCTAGAACGGATTGACTCATGTGTGACTGTCCTACCATCTTCTGCACAAGGTGCAGTCGAGAGCTCCCTTATAACATAGACAGGTGGAACTTTAACTTGTTACGTTGCTTTTCAGGGTAACAGCAAGTTGGAATATCTGAACCTAAGTCACAATGAATTTAGCGAGAGTGCGGGGTTGATCCTGGGACCAGCTATAGCTGAGAACATCAACATCAAACACATTGACTTAAGCTGGAATCACATTAGGAGGAAAGGAGCTCTGGCATTAGCCAAGGGAATCATGGTAAGCATTCTGTTTTATTCAGGTGGGACCATGAAGCTCAGTTTCCATACAATCGCTCACCCTATCAGCGACAGGTGCCAACATTTTTCGTGAAGGTTTAACCGGGTTCAACTTTGCCGATTGTGTTGCAGACAAATCGGAGTGCCTTCCCGATTGTGTCGGGGCAGCTAGCAATGCATCCTGATTCGTCTGCAACACATTCGGCAAAGTTTAACCAGGCTGAACCTTCGCGATATCTGTCGGCTACTGTCGTTGATAGGGTGAGCGATTCTATGGAAACCAAGCTTTAACAGGTACTCTCCATCCAGGTCAGGAGGGTCGTGGAACTCATCGTTGGGCAGGGTGTTCATTTCCTAAATTTGAAATCAATTATTCTTGACAATCAAATATTGACAAAACAAATATGTTAAGACAGGATAGTGTATCATTACCATGAATCCATCCATCTTTTAATAAAATTGTTATATCTGTCATGTTTACCATTGAATAAAAACGTGACATAATAAAAAAAATCCTTGCAATCAAATAATCATAATATATTTGGAAATATTTGATAAGTGTAATCCTGACTCGGTATTCTGTTTTATCTAGAATAACATCGGTTTAAAGAAAGTTGATTTGTCTTGGAATGGTTTTGGGAATGAAGGTGCACAAGCAATTGGAGAAGCTCTTAAATTAAATAGTTCACTGGAGGAACTAGACATTACAAACAACCGAATACCAGCAGAGGGCGCCATATTAATCAGCAAAGGTCTAGCTGTTAATGAAAGTCTCAAAGTTTTGAAGGTATTTTATTGATCAAAATCCATACTCAGTTTTCATAGTGATAACATTAAGGGGCTTGATATTATTAATATTATTTTCCTATGTACCTGTCTCAGTGCCTGGCTCTAATACTCTTTCTTTTCCTGTATCTGAATTTGTGTTTTTATGTATTTATTTATTGAACATATTTATACTACAGGATAACATATCAAGAGGATATAACAACCTGTTTCACACATGGGCCTGTTTAGTGATACAAAATTATGGAAGATGTCTAAAATCAACAAATCACATATTAATTAAATTGTAGAAAGACTTAAATTACAAATATGGTAAAAAGCTTAATTTAAGATGCAGAATACTTAAACTTTGTTAAAATACATCCAAAAAATTATAATCACAAGGTAGAGGAATGAAATGAATGATAAAATTCTTTATCCAAAAGCTGATGCTTCCGCTACTTCACTCTTGAGTTGTGCATTCATCATGGCTAACCACATGGGGCTTGACATGCCAAAACCAACATCAATAACAAAAAAAAAAATAGAATTGATTTTTTAATATATTCATAGCCTGCACATTATCGTCAAACTGATAGGTCAGTTTACTGTTATCGACTTACTATATTGCCAAAGATATTAGTTAAAGTGTTACAGCTTCTTTGTACTACTAAAGTATACAGTACTGCACGTCTTTTATGTTACTCAGTTCAACATTTGGAATTGCAAGCCTCATATTACAGTTTGTTTTCCTGATTCTGGACTATGCTTATTGACTGAGAAATTTGCGAAGAGTACTCATTGTTTATATTACTTCTCTTCATTGATTCTCCTAATCAATCATTGTCAACAGCTCTGTTTTTGTCTTTCTCCTTAGATTGGCAAAAATCCTATGCAGACCGCTGGTTGTTATGGTATTGTGAAAGCTTGTAAAGACAATGCAAATACAGCGATTGAAAGCATAGAATTCCTTGTAAGTGCATTAACAGTGAGCAAAAACAAGGCTTATTTTCTTTGCTGGTGAAGTTGTTTGGGTGGTTTTAAATGTGATGGACAGGAAACTGAGAAATGACAAACATAAAAATTAAGAGAAAACAAATAAAACAAACCACCACCCAGCATAATTACCGGTATATATGATGTGAAGTCACTCCCCCCCCCCCACACAATTATGAAGCTTTACTAGATCATAGTTTTGATAAAGTTTACAAATTATTAAAACGTCTCTCTACAGAACATTCAGGTTAATAAAGATTTTGATGAGTTATTTAAAGAACTGAAGGAGTTAAGACCAGACATGAAAGTGAAGCATGGCGGTATGCAGGAGGAGGTCAAACCAAAGGCTAGACTCAACCCCATGGTGAAATTATACCGCTACATTCAAAAGAACAACTTACGATTCATGGACTTTTTCAATAAAGTAGACAAAGATGGAAGTATGAGTGTCACTTACGATGAGTTTGAGGAGGGACTCAAGGTAAGTGAAAATTTTCAATGAGGATAATCCAGTTTTTGTATAGTGCATCATACCAACACAGGTTCTATAATGAAAACATATGACATGCCTAAATATGGTCATGATGACATCACATCATGACCAATATGGGCACATCATGACTATATGTGGGCATAAAATGGTTTTTTGTTTAAGTTGTATAGCCTTTACAGGGCTTTATATTATTTTTTGTTTTGAAACCTTAAGCCATTGCAGAGGTATAGCCTTGGAAGAGTGTTTTTATACAGTGCACTGCAGCGTACAATTATATTTTCTAAGGTAGTTCAGGGCAAGGAACACTGACATTTATCAATTTGTAATCCAGGTATATATTATGCTTTAAAACATTATTAAGTGTAGTGGTAGAAAGGAAATTCTCTCACCAATGATCATCTAATGTTAATTAAAATTCTCACCTGCTATATTCTTATTGAAATCCCTGTCAATATATATCAGTTGCATTTTTTTGCTTCCAAACTAAGACACTGATTAATTTTTACCTCTATAGGAAATTGGTATTGACTTAAATCAAGAAGAGATAGCCTGGCTGATTAATGAGTTTGATCGTGATGGAGATGGTGATATTAATTACAGGTACATTGTTCATTTCTATCTAAATATTTTGGTTAAATTGAGTAAATCACTTGAGTATCTATGGATTTTTTCATTTCATCAATGGATTCATTAGTGCTTTGAATACGGTTAGCATAATATTTATTACAGGTACATTGTTTTTATTCTTTTTTTCAAGTAAATTATGTTAGTTTACATTTGCTTCAATCACTGGTATATATTATCTGTATGCATTCTGTTCATTTACAAAAATAGTGTGCTTAATATTTTGGGTGAAGGCTTCATAAATATAACATTTTACTATTTTCCACAGCTTACATTGTTGCTTCGAGAATCTTAAAATTGACGCAAAGCACAAAAATGAGCCTACACATTTTGATCTGATACCATTTACCATTTCGTTTGTTTTGTTGGTTGATTTTTTGGTCTTTGAGTGGAATATCTCTTACAAGACATAAACTGGGCTTCCAGGCAAATACGGGTTGTGTCTCTTAGCAGCGATGTATGCTGGCTTGAAGATAGATAGCTTCACAGCCAATTTGTAAATTTCTAGGATTACAAGGGCTTCTTTATACTGCTTTTATAATCAGCTATATTGTTTCAATGATCATATATTCTTGCTCTAATTCATACTCAATATAATTGGTCTTATTATCACAGCAAAATACCTATGCTTGTAGAGTTATTTATATACAAGATAAAATAGTATAATGTTGATGGGTGAGTACAGATGTCAATGTGGCTATTATGTGCATCAATGTATCCATGAAAATGACCTTATGCATGCTGAATGAACATATTCACTTGACCAATCAATGCACAGTGAATGTTTTTTTTAAATAAAGTAATTTATAGCCTGGTTCTCACGAGAGCCCTAGTATCCGGATTGGGAGCTAACCGTTAGCACCTGCGTGAGAACACCCGATCAGTTAGCGCTAACCGTTAGCAGTATCCGGATACCGCTAACGGTTAGCAAGCGCTATCAGTTAGCAAGTTGAGCGCGTTTTTATCATCAACCAATCACACGTACGCGTTTACAATTTCCAGTTTCTTATTGGCCAGTGAATCGATCATCATATTTTTGGTATCCGGATCAGGATTTTTTCGTATGGCAGCTAACGGTTAGCAGGATCCGGATCCTGCTAACCCTTAGCAGCCGTGTGAGAACATAGCCAATGTATTCCAAAGTTCGAGAATGGAACAACCTTAGCTTAAATATTCAAAATACCTTTTCCATTTAAGGACAAACATTTTAAATATATTTTTACATCTTAACTGAACTGAATTAAAATTCAGAGAGTTATGTTATTTTAAACCTATGAAGCTTTGCACACAGTAGTTTACCTGGGCTGCAACCCTATTAAATTGTGTTGATTTGGATACAAATTTTTATTTAACTGTGTTGATGCATGCATCCCCATACAGTAGCATTCATGGTGTAGGTTAGGTTAGTGACCTCCAAATCCAAGAGACTGAAGAACTATGAATATGTAAGGAAACACTAGGTCACTCTTTTATGTATTGCCATTTGTATATGCCATTTAATATATTTCTCTAAAAAACCTGAACATGTTCAACATAGAGTTCCCCGGTTTTTTTTTGTTGCCAATCACTCATTTTAATGTTCATGTCGGAATAAACACAATATGTACATCCATCAAAACAAAGACGTCTGTTTTGTTGCAGTCCATCCAAATGTCGTTAGTTGATTTATTGTTTCATTTCTTTCATCTAGTATAACCAGGATCATCTTACTTTATTCACTCACTCCAATTAACAGTCCCAATGCACTGTACTGATACACTCAGTATTGTTTCACATTGATATTGATTACTGTAATGTAATTGCAAATCCAGAGTCTTTTCCCTACACTCCATCCCTGATTGTAACTAGTTTTCTATTTTCCATTAAATAGTTTTCTATTTTTCAATTGTTGTTGATGCTGTTTTGAAAATAATTTCTGCCCTAGGTATATTTACACATGGTATTATTTTATATACATATTGAATGCTTATTTACTTAATGGTATGGTATTTATATTCCCATAATTCATGTATTTATATTTGTTCTTTAATATCAATTAATACAGCTGTTTTACAAATGTTCTTGGGTTCTCATTTTAAATGAGTGTAGCATTTTTTTTTCTTTTTCAAATTGTTTATTTGGACTTTGTCTACTCAGCCTCCACTGATTGTTTTCATTATGGTATATATACAAAACTTGTATGATATCCAAGTTAAATAATTTTAATTGAAACAAATAATGACATTTTGCTTTATATACATGCTGCTACAGTGAAGTGTTCTTAGCATTTACCAAGATAGAGGGCTGAGGTAAAATTGGAACATGTGGTAATTGCACTTAGAGTGTTTGCACTTCAACTCAAATTCAGAAATTGTATAGGCCTACACTTATTGAATTGAATAAAAAATATTACTGCACAGTTAATTGCTTAATTTTAATCACTAATTGATTAACATACACCCTCATTCTTAGGAAAAGGTGTGACACAGAGTCTGGTAAAAAAATTCACTGGGATTTTATTGAAAAGCTCTTTATTTAAGTTTGAAGCACTCTTATAAATAAATGTTCAGTCATTACACCTACAGTACTTGAGCATCGGTCTACATGAGCTTTTCAACATGATGTGCATATACTGTATATTGTTCACAAGCACGTCTGCATGAGCACATCTATATGAGCATACCAACATGAGCATGTATAAGCACTTAATGTAAGTGTATCTATGAGCACATCAACATGATCATGTCTTCTTGAGCATATCTACATGAGCATACCAAAATAAACATGTCCATATGAGCACATCTACATGACCACATGTACATAACCCTATACACATGAGTGTGTTTACATAAGCCTACATGAGTAATAATACCCTCTTAACTTTTTCTAAAAAAAATGTGAGATTTTCTACATACAGCACATGAATGTCAAGTTAATCCTATGTTACACCTACTGTGATTTGCATTATTATTTATTTTCTTTATTAACAATGCAAATTCAAAAAGTTAGACCACCTTCCCATACAACCCAGTGGATTAACTGGTAAAAAATATCCATTATATTTTTTTAAAGGAATAATTCAAGTGCCTATGGAAACACAGCCTTATATACATTCTTCCTTCTATTATGTTAGCAAGATTTGCAGCACAATCTAATCACTTTATACCTCTATGGCCTACATCTTAACATTTAGCTTGAAAATCCAATTTATATAGATCTTCTGTAGCATTACTCACTGTTGCACCACTGACCAATGCAAACAAAATGACTAATAATATGATCAGGAATTAGTAAATGTCCTGATATACATCACTGTTGGATTTAATGTGTAAATGATCATAGCCTTGATGCCTCCTGTATCAATTTGATTGGAATATTATATTAAGCTGGTTTTCCACTAGGCGAATTTATTCACGCAAATCAAAGCGTCGGTTCTTGAAACTTGTAATGCAGTCATGCACTCATGCAATATTTTTATATTATTATATTATCATATATGTTTGTCTCAGTGTTAGTTATATTTTTATATTCTGTGTTTAATTAAGTTTATGTCATTCTTAGTTTTTTAAGCAACTAGCAAAACAAATTTAATTTTTAACTTGTTTGTTCGATGACAATAAAGTATTCTTTATTCTTGATTGATTCTTGATTAACCTTTATACTTGATTTATAGAGCACCCTTGGCTTGGACAATGTTTTTAGCAGCAAAATATTTTATTTTTTATTATAAATTAATACATATAAAATGTCTATAATTGAATGTTGAATATTATTGGTTTAAACTTCTTATTACACGCTTCCCTACTCAAGCAATCAGAGATGATTGAAATAATGTTTCAGCATTATTAGCAGGAATGTTGCAAGCTCAATCTAAATTGTTAAACATATGACTTGTCGGTCTGGGCTGCCACTAAATGAAATAAATAACAAATTTGCTTTTATGAATGATGTGTTTGACATCTGCCAGTAATAATTAAAATGTTGCGTTTAAAAAAAATAAAATATTCTACATTCATCATACTTATATAAAATTCAGATATTATTAATATCAATCAAATATTTAATATTACTATTAACACTTATTTAGATTTACTATAAGCCATCATTAATGTTTATATTTGATTCTGTTTCAGTGAACTTGTGATGGGTAATTATGACAAGTCTGGTTCTTCGGTCATTTGATGCTGTAGGAGAAATTGAAATTATGTCAAATTGATCAATGACCTACTAGAGGTCATAGTAGGCAGCCAATGTGACATTCCACCTCAATCACATTTTTCAGTAACAAGTATTTCAACCAATTTGACAGGATTACAATATGCACTTTACATAAACAAATTCTCGTTAAAGTGCAGGGTAGGGAAGGTAATATTAATTGTGGAATAAATCCACCACTAAAATTCTAGTAAAATTTAGAGGAATCAAACCTGCACCTTCATGGTTGGAAGCTGTGTGATACCACTATCACCGAAATATGACTTCCTCTTTGATCTGTCTTTGGTGCTCTTTTGTCTAAGCTAAACCATCAATGTTAGATATATTTTTACAAGAAAGTAAATGTGTATGTTTTAATTGCTAGGACAGTCTTTTTGTATTACTCCATCATAAATTTGTAAATGAATAATATATTTTGGAGAATTTGCTTTTACATGTACTGTATATATTGAGGGGATCACGTACTGTAAATGGGGGTTGTGTGGAAAGGGGAATGGGGTGCATGTGTGTGATATAACATATAGTAGTGTCTATTGCCAATTCTTCCTTACGGCATAATCTGTTTTGATATGCTGTGAAATATACGTTGCAGTCTCCAGTCTTCTGTAGTGCTATAGTAACTTTATTATTTTTGTTAAATAATATTTAAATGATCATATTTTAAAGCTACATTTTTCTGTATCTGTATGGTCTCATGCAAACACCTTCTGAGGTTGTCGTCGCACGTAAGTTGGGGTCAGGTGTGCAAGGAATTATCTTTTTTGGTTTTTATGAAGTTTTCTTAGGCTATAATCTTCCAAATACAGTTATCAATGATGCAAAGAATATTTTACCGTCAGAAAGAGATTCCAATGAATTTATGCCACCAATCTATATTAAAATATGTATATATGTATATGTATATTGTATATATTTTGTTTGATGCAATTAAAATATGACATGTACGTAAATTTTTTTTTGCACAATTTCCATTTGTTGGTACCAAGAATAAGCTATAAAATCCTCCATAAATATTTAGAGTTGAGTTGTTTAAAACCCAAATTTTATTGACAAAAACATGTGACATGCCTAAATTTGGTCATGACAGCCCATCATGACCATATATAGGCACATCATGACCATATATAGACACATCATGACTATATATGGGTAAAGAATTTTTGATAATCTGGATAGAGCTTTAGTTGTGAGACACCATTCTGGTGTTTTTCTTTTAATCAAAACACTCAAAATTACAAGATGAAACTAATACCCTATTCAGACTAGACTTTCCATTACGACCGGTTGCGATGTAATCAGTGGTAATCCAAATTGTTCGCAACCATTCGCAAACTTCGACAGCATTCAGACACCTTTTTACTTTGATACTTTACATCACTAGCAACGATATAGGTCATCCTGTTTTGTTTGACCTCTGCCAATCAGTGCCTGTGAAAACCGTTGCGATTGGATTCCTTGGTAATCGGGAGTAATAAAGATTGTAGCACCCAATCGCAACGGGTAACAATTGTGATATCGATTATTTATTGACTACTATTGGTGAGGTTTCAGACACGATTTTACTTTGCGATTGGGTGTCGCAATTGCTACAACCGATCGCAATGCGAAGCCAGTCTAGATGGGGTATAATATGCTATTTGCAGAAGGATACATATTACACAGGACATAAACGCTGGGATGCATTCAATGTAATATAATCATACATCACAGAGGGCGTCACTCCCAAGATATTCAGCATGGGTCTGTGCACATGTTCACAGTGGTGGCTCCAGAAATTTGGCCATGGGGGTCCGACATGGGCCCAACCCAATGGGCTGACTAGATCGACCCTCAGTCACGTCCCGAAAAAATTAATGTCTGATAGGATTCATGGGCGAGTCTTTATGGCCCAAAATTGTGCTTTGAGACAACTTTATTAGGGATTGGCAAATTAATATTTCTGGTCTGACAACCTCGTTGTGGTGTCGGATGACAGGGGTCCAGGCTTGTCAGCGCCCTCTGTTGCTGCCACTGCATGGTCTCGGCTTCACTGTGGCATCACATGTTTACTTTATTACATATAAGGTTTATCGACTTCTAGCAAGGTTTCCCTCTCGTGAAGATGGCAGTATTTAGGTAGGTCCTTTTGTAATAGTTAGCATGTGTCATCTAAGTGAGTATAAATCTCATTATGAGGTTTATTCTTCAGAGTAAATCCTAGTTTTTACAGTATTGGATTGCATCCACCTTAGCTCCAAAAATAAAAAAACAATTTTAATAAGTGTGTTTCATTTGAAAATTTTTATTTGAGTTACAATTTCACAAGTCAAAACATTATATTGATTTATCAATCATCTTCAAATAGACTTCCTCTCTAAGTGTATTCTATAATATAATTAAGGCATTGAATCCAGTCTAATCATCAAACAATATAATTTAGCAACATATGTACAAAAATTATTTTACTTATAATTTGACTTTAATCAAATATACTTGACAAAACAATATCATCTGATTATATTGATTTAAAATATATACATCAAACGGCACCCAATGTTTAAACATGGAAATAAGTACAGTATTTGAATCAAGCGGCAAGAGCTCAACTCTTAACAGGTGGGATTACATCATATAAAATCGCTAACTTTAGACTACAATTAAACATACTACCATTGGTAATTAATATATGAAGTTTTTTTCTTTTTCACATTTTTTTGAACATTTACTGCATAGGTTAGTAGCCACATGTAAGCCTATTACATAATCACCAGTATTACAAGCTATTTTGCAATATTAAACATTCAAAATTTATTTTCAATAAGTTATTTTCTATTAAAAAACCTATGCTATGGTATGTATGCACACGCACTTACACACAAACACCCACATACGATCACTCTTTCATCAATATGCAGATAGAGTATAACAAATCTAATACTGTATATAAACTTTTATGTATGCATTGCATCAGTTTCAAGAAATTCATTTATTAAATTATCTTCTATAATGTGCAGGTCTAGCACTTTCTATCAGTCAGCTCAAGCAATCATCTAGCCACTGAATCTATCGTCCAGCTAGCACCTATCACCAATCATTAGTATCCATTTAAGCACTAGAATCTACTATTGTCCAACACTACTGTAGCATTACCATCTCCCAGCCATCCTACTATCATCCAGTCCCAGCATATTGTCCAGCACTAGTATTTACTATCGTTCAGCACTACAGCACCTACTACCAGCCAGCCCCAGCTTATCATTTAGAGCAAGCATTTACCATTGCCCAGCACTCTGGCATCTACTATCATTGAGCCCCAGCAAATTGTCCAACATTAGTTGTACCAACACCCAGTACTATAGCACCTATCTACCTAGCCCTAGCATATTGTCCAGCACTAATATTTACCATTGCCCATCACCATAGGACCTACTACCTGCCAGCCCTAGCATGCTGTCCAGCACAGTCATTTATCATAGCACAACACTGACAGCATCTACTATCATCCAGCCCTAGCATATTGTCCAGCACTATGTACCACCAGAGTACTATAGCACTTTCTACCTGCCCCTGCATATTGTCTAGCACTAGTATTTACCATCACTATAGCACCTACTACTACTACCCAGCCCTAGCATATCGTCAAGCACAAGCATTTAACATTGCCCAGCTCTATAATAGCATCTTGCCCAGCACTATATACCATCACTTAGCACAGCACCTACTATTACTCAGTACCATTCAGACCTACTACCTATCTATATTCTAGCTATGGAATCAACGGCACCAGCATTTACCACCACCCAGCAATAGAGCATCCACTATCATCCAAACTTAACATTTACCATCCAGCCATAGAATCTACTAATGTCTAGCACCAACATTTATAATCGCCCAGCTCTATAGCAAATAATAAAATCCAGGATATCAATCGTCAAAACCTACCAGAAAATACTGTTAGCCTTAGCATCTAAAAGTAAAATGTGTATGAACAACCTACTAACAGGCTTTGGTCTCACTATTAATGCTTTAATGCAGCATTCTCCAAGACCTGCATAATTAATAAATATTAATAAATAAATACTATGATTATTTGAAATATTTAATATACTGTATCATTATGGGTCTTTTCTGTAAAAAATATTTTATGAAATCTTAGCAACTGCATTGCACATTCAACATTAATATTTTTTCAGTCATAGATTTGTTTTAAAAATAAAATTGTTAAATATGCTATAAAATGATCTATATCATTACATTGATTCCAATATCCAACTACTTAAAATAAAGTCAATGTAATACAATGTGTATTACCACTGTAATGGTGTACAATAATTCCTCTTCATTATTATTATTTTTTTCCATTCTTTAAAATTTCATTTCATTAAATCAACATGCGACTCCCTACTTTTAGAATGGAGTGATGCTCTATAAACAATTGATGGCACAAGTAGGGGTCCAGGGGAACAGGGCCCATCGGGGAACCAGCCAAATATTTTTTCAGGCAAAACTGCTTTTCAAAATGCATTCTTGAAGCGACATTTTGAGATATCTAGAGGTGCGCATTCTTAAAATTTGGTGTGGCAGAAATAAATTTGGAGGACAACCCAATTATATATTTTTAGTGTATTTTTATAGCTCTGGTATTTTGTTCTAAATAATCGATAACATAAAATACCATTATATTCAGGTATATTCATATAGTTTTCAGGTGTTTTATTTACATTTAAGTTAATTTTTTATTTAATGGTAGTTATTACAAGTAATTAAGATCTGGTCGGAAATATAAACCCATGAATCTATTTACAGCTCTACGGTAGGCCCTGAAAGATAAAATTTCTATAGAATTTTCAAGATATACAGTAATTCCCATAAATGCAAGTAAACCCAATCAAGAGTACAGAAGAACCAAATACCATGCTCTCCCACCAAAACGTTTATAAGTACGGAAAACAATTTCGAATACCTATTTACACCCACTAAATTATTCCTAATATACAATACATCTGCATTAGTTCTTTATTTATCAAAAAGCTACTGATATTTCTATGCCCAGCTATAGTCCTGCATTTTTGTAAAAACAAACTAATTTACAAAATTACAGAATGAAAACAGAACACTGTAAGTTGTCCTGATTCTTAAGTTACAATGATATTGCACCTGAGATTTGGCAAAATGCAATTGTCCACGAAGAAGTGTACATAAGAAATTATGTTTGTTATGAAATAAAACTAGTGTAGTTTATGTACAGTAAAAATCTATTGAAGGTGACTATTCTACCAATCACTTAATTAATCACTCATTTATAAATCTATCAATTCAATCAATCAATAAACTGATCAGTTAATCAATCAATCAATAACCAAATCATTATATCAATATTCATTATTTGTTATTTAACCCTAATATTACCCCTTGTTTTCAAAGAGGTTTTAGCACAATCCACATCATCTCTAAACAAGTAATTTTATTTACATGAAGAAAAATAGTATCAATTTTTAATGAATTAAATTTGTGAGGAAAGATTAAAATCACTTTTAATGTTTAATTAAAAGAATAAAATACAGAATAAAAGCAAACTCCTACTGTCACGTCTACTCCAAAATGCATCAGTTGTACTCATGCACAGATCATATAATGTACAAGGCCTACGCTCATATGCAGCCCTCTGTGCATATATTTTATTCAAACACATAAAGAAATATCCCACAATGCATCAAGTTACTCACACATTCACCACGACATATTCTTGTACATAATATGTGTGTCCATATGCTTGCATGAATGTCTTGATTTAATCTATAGAGACAGGCTTCCAATATTGAAATTCGGACATCTCCATCTCAGTCGTTTTTGATATAAACTGAAAAAGCAGAAAAAATTGATAAAAACAATAATTCAAACTTATTTTATATACGTATCAGAATAAGGCAAATACATATGTAGTGATCTTCATGGTTCAGAGCGCACACAGTAGCTACCACCAGCCTAGCTGACTGCTCTCGAAACACTTACCTTAAAGGGTGCACTGACTCCAAGTGTACACTCCATGACACTGCTGTAGTAACACAAAACAAACTTATCATAACAATCATCAGGTAGATATTCAGCTTGGAATGTTACTTGGTATTTACCGCTTTGTTTTGAAGCACTCCTCGCATCGGCCCATACATAAGTTTTGTAGTCGCGCTCAATGCTACTGAATTCAAGCTGTTGATGAAATCATTAGGTTAAATTTTTTACCAAGTAACTCTCTAGGACAGCTTTGAATATTACTGACCAGATCTGTACGCAATCAAACACAATGATGCTTTGAACCTGTCTCTTATACACATCTAGATGTGTATAATGTAATACAGGTATATTGTATTTAGTCCATTTGGAACCCAATGATATTAGGAATTATGTTGTATTGTTCACCACCTTTTATCTATTATTTATCTATAAGACTACACTGTATTTCATCTCATGAATTTTTAACATTATTAATCCTATCTTTGATAAATTATTTAAGTTAAAAACAAAAACATGTTATTAAATAACATATGGAAGTACACTGTATAGACCAAGCCAATCCCAGCTGCTCGTTTTGGTGTCTTGTGCTATTGAGTAGGAGCATACAGCATTTTGTCCACACCTCAATGTTCTCACTGGGTCAAACCTTACAAGAGGTGTCGCCCCATCAACAGGCAGCTAAGAATAAATAAAGTATACATAGACATAGTTATCAAGATTTAAATTCAAACAATACGAATTATTCAATCTCAGATGTAAGAATTGTTATTTTGACAAGAGATTGTCTTGTATGGATGAAATTTAATAAAGAATTATATAAAACATTATAACTTATTATAAAATAAATTAAAAATAAATGAAAAAAGTTGAAATTGAAGAAGCCATGAGTGGGGTACCTTAAGCTGAAAGTATGCGCTAACTGGTCTGTGGTCACTATGGTCCATGTCCGGATGGGAATGGTACTCCAGCTGTTTCAAGATCGGATCAGTTCCAGTGTCCTCCTTCCATAATATACGGTCTGTCCATGCGGGAACTCTTTGTTTAGGACTGTAATAATCATTTAGAATAAATATTACTAAACATTTTAGGGACAGTAACTTGGTGATAAAGCATAACTTTTAATCCCGATATTAAATCCACGTAAATCAAAGGATTGTATGTTTTGATCGCTTCAAACCCATGATTGTTACGGTACTTCCCATCAATACGAATACCAGGTTTGTAGGTTTACATTCCTACTAATCGAATGTTTGAATGTACTACAAATGTCAGTATTGTGTTTTCCAATTCCTGATAATCCCAAGGTTATAAATAGGTACCCATCCATGCAAATAATAAAGCTGCACTGTTGGGTTCCCATCCCTGCAAATTTATGGATTGTATAGTAGCATCTTTCAAAATTATTAGCATCATGAATATTCATATACCTCTAATAATATTTTAATAATAACTGTATAGCCTGTATCAATCATGAGTGCCTGGATGAAAGTGATTATGAATATTCATATACTGTACCTTCTTTCATAATCATGAGTGCATGGATCAAATTTATGGCTTGTATCATACTCATGAATGCCTAGATTAAATTTCTCATGAATATTCATATGCTTGTATCATACTTATGAGTCCCTGGATAAAATTTATCATAAATATTCATATGCCTTGTATCATAATTATGAGTGCCTAGATTAAAATTATCATAAATATTTATATGCTTTTTTTTTTTTATAATTATGAGATCCTGGATCAAATTTATCATGAATATTCATATGACTTGTATCATAATTATAAGTGCCTGAATCAAATTTATCATGAATATTCATATGCCTTGTATCATAATTATGAGAGCCTGGATCAAATTTATCATGAATATTCTCATACCTTGTATCATAATCATGAGTGCCTGGATCAAATTTATATGTAGGTGGGAAGCTGATCTCTCCCTCGGCATATCCTTCAAATTCATCACGATCACGAAGGGTAATCCTCAACTGGTCTTTTTCTTTTAAAGGTTCCAGTTCATTTTTAACTAGGTGATTCAAGGCCTTTTCCCGACTCATCCCTTCCAAACGGAAGTTCAGATCGCCAAATATGAATACAAAACTGTTGAAAAGGAAACAATTATTGATTTTCTTGTGAACGCTTTAATGATCAATCAACAGTATTGGGTGAGTATTTGTTAAATGGAAATCAAATGTGATACTTCAACTATGAAATATACAAAATCAATATTATCAAACAATGATTTTGTGATAAAATCTCTAGAAGATCCTGACAGAAAAATAATCATCCCATCACAACATATACCATCTAATGTATATATAAGATTTAGATTTACAGTATGAAATAAACCTAAGCCTTCCATGACATCATCTAGGTTAAGATATGGTAATTAAGAACACTATCAGCAGTTACGGCTACTTTGACATTAGAAATGGTGAGTAGTCAAGTGAAAGCAGTGGCAATGCAACCTATAGCTTTAACATTAGTGGTGGTTTCAGACCCTCATCCTTCATCATTCAGTTAGTAGATAAGGATGCAAACTGGAGGCACAGTGTACACATCTGGTTTGCATGGGCAGACACAGGGCGCCATAGGGCTAAAAAAAAAATTGAAAATTTAAGAAAAAATAAAGGAGAAAGGGGAGAGCACTGTACTCCAGAACAAGCTAATTTTCAATTTAAATTCCATGTACTAATGTCATGGTCAAGCATTTCTATTCAAAGATGTCATGGTCAAGCATTTCTATTCAAAGATCTCAAGCACTACCCGCACCTCCCACCCCTGCTTGGTGCTTTGTATGTTGCATGGCCTCTCTTCAGATATTTCTCTGGATCTGCCCCTGGTGTTTCTTCACTTTGATCTTTTGGGGCTCAGCTTTACTTCAGCCCCTGTCATGGAAAAATTTTACCAAGTAACTCTCTAGGACAGCTTTGAATATTACTGACCAGATCTGTACGCAATCAAACACAATGATGCTTTGAACTACAGGTTAATATCCTACATCTATAAACTGCTCAAAAAATAGATACATCATTAAGAAACAAGGATAAAAAATCACCTTCATTTAAATACCTACCTATGGTCCATTATGTTCATAGTGTTGCCGATATTGAAATTCTGATCCTCAAAGATCTGTTGAGTTTCTTTGCACCTTTTATCCCATTGGTCCGCATGTGGTGTTAGATGCCAGTTGGAGAAACACAGACTACGCCCATACCAATCCATCCGCAATGTTGCGCTTCCCTTATTACCCTGCGATGATTACAATTACTAATGCTTACTGTCTTATGAATACATATATAACAAAGGCTATGGGCAGTCATTCATGTAAATTAATTACATTGCTTTGTTAAAGAAGATCCCAAGGATAGAATGAACAGGCATACGTTATATTAGGGAGGTTGGGGGTGGGGGCAAATAATAAAGTTAGTTAAAGAAATAGAATTACAGTAATATGTCTGTGTGCAATACTGAAAACCTATGTACTCTTGAGGGAGTGGAGAAGGTTAACCTTGTGTTAGTTTTTTGAGAAATGACAATGTCAGATTTGTGTGCTCCAAAGCTTTTACACTGTGCCATCTCACTATTTAACCACGCTCACAACATGGACAAGTATGGTTAGGTTGATAAACTATTGAATATCTTTACCCATAAACCTGCTATACCAGTCCTGGTAACATTAGCCATCAAATTATGCATAAATGGAAGGTGATGCAGTTTAGTATATACAACCAGAAGCAATCCCTGTAAACGAGTAGACTTCAACTGCAAAAACAAAGAAAATTTTTTAATTTTTATAACCTACTTACCGACCTACATCATGCAGCCTCTGCTATCGCTGCCTCAGGTTTCATGGTGGATCCAAAATTTTACTGTATATCTTAGTGTACTGATTTTTCAACATTGGGATTCTGTTTGTACACTACCATTACTGATATCATTACTATGTCCCTTATCATTTTTCGCTTAATTTATTAAAAATTTCTCATATGAGCAACACATAGTAATGCAAATAATTGTACAAAAACATCCTCATCATTATCAACAACTTCATGATCCTTGTCACTGTTATTACTCATAACCATACCCACCACCACCACCATCACCACCACAACATTTTAATTTAAAAAACAATATCTAATAAATAAAATGTCATATCAGTTCGTTTTGTATCGTTTCGTTTTGTTTGTTCTCTGATATTGAAATATAATCCAATCTTATTGCATAAACATTATAATAAAATGTTAGTGTTTTAAATGTTTACAACATGTACTGTAGCGATTGAGGTATTTGTCATTTTCACCTTTAACTTACCTGGATAAGATGCCTTGGCTTCATCACCGCATCCATGGCTTCTGTCCAGGGGTCATCAACAAATGCTGCTTGAACGATCTCATGAGGCTTCGAACTGACCTCTTGCAGACCGATAATACAAACATCAGGATCAAAACTTAGTAGCCGTTCCAGCAACTGACTTAATTGCTCTGGAGGGTCAATGGTTGCCACATTCCATGTACAAATACTCACGCTGTAGGCAAAGCATGATTAATTACAAATATGATGCATCATTAACATAGACCTGAATTATCAATATCCAGATCATTAAAATTATACCTGAAAGATCATTGGAAGTCTCTAATGTTCATTTTACACTTTCATACATCTTTAGTAGACAGTGAGTCATTATATTTTATATTATACTACTATGTTATATTATCTGATCATCATATGTTACTGTGCATTAAAATATTAACGATAAATATTTTTACTAAAAACTAATGTTAAATTTAATTTTGTGAATAATATTTTCTTTTCTTTTTAAAATACTGTTGTTTGCTATGAGTTGTCTGATTTAGAATTATTTAAAAAAATATAGATCATTATTTATGGATACTGTAAATACATAATTTAGTGGTGATAGTTGATTAAATTGTCATAAACATACATTCTCTTTGATATTGATATTATTTATTCATCTGTTTAATTAATTTTCAAGTTGGCTCACAAAGGCTAAATTGCATTGATAATCATTTGCATGCAACAAACATATTAATCGTCCATGCAGTGTGAATATCTTAAACTTTATAGAGAATATTATTCAACTCGATGGAAATCTAATATGGTGTACTTCCACGAAGTGTGGTACCAGTTCTTATTCATTTGTGTATTTATGAATTCAAGGCGGCAGCAGTCTGGTCTGCTTTTGCTTCTCCTAGGCTCTCATCTCTCTTGGTTACTTTATAATAATAATAAATCCACTCATAGCTTATTACAAATGCTTCAAAGCACTTTACAGACTTAACAGTAATACATTCACCATGCAACTCTTCATAAATATCTTTTTATTATTTATATTTTAAGTTAAATTAAATAAGTGCGTACTAAAATGATCATGTGATCATGGACTGCGTTATTAACACCTTTAATAAACACATAAATTTGTGATGATAAATGTTGATGTTAATATTTATACTTTTACTTACCCTAATGCATCAGCCATTTTGTACAAGGTTCAGCCAGTTCTATAATTAGAGTACAAAGAACACTTTATGTTACTATCTCATAAACTCATATCATTATATATGTCATTATTTTATGAATATATTTGTATCCGTACATAATTTGCACAACTACAAAATATTTTATTGGCAGAATATTTCCTATCTATATATATA